AGAGATGGTTAATTTTATGTGTCAACTTCACTAGGCCACAGTGTGCCCAGTATATTCCTCATTTGGGTGTGTTACTCTGGCCTGTTTACTGAGTGACCACAAGAGTTGTTGGTTTTGAGGGGTTCCCCAAACATGGGAAGACCCTGCAGAAGTTCCAGGCTGCTGTACAAGCTGCCCTGTCCCTTGGGCCATATGACCCATCAGATCCGATGGTGCTTGAGGTAGGTCACAGGCAGATAGGGATGCTGTTTGGAGACTTTGGCAGCCCCTGTAGGTGAGGCCTGCCATTCTCTGTGGATAACTACTCACCTTTGGAGAAACAGTACGTGGCCTGCTACTGGGTCTTCATAGAGGCTGAACACTTGGGCCACCATGCATCAGTTACCATGCTACCTGAGCTGTCCATCATGAACTGAGTGTTATCTGCCCCACCAAGCCATAAGGTTGGGCGTGCACAGGGACACTTCATCATCAGATGGATGTGGAATATTTGCGATTGGGCCCAAGCAGGCCTCAAAGGCACAAGTAAGTTACATGCTCATGGAATTCACTGGTTACCATGTTCCTCACCATTCTGAAGCAGCTGGTTTGGTGGAACGGTAGAATGGCCTTTTGAACATTCGGTTTACAGCACTAGTTAGGTGGCAGCACTTTGCAGGGCCAGGGCAAGGTTCTCCAGAAGACTGTGTGTGCTCTGAAGTGGCATCCAGTATAAGTTGCTGTTTCTCCCATAGCCAGGAGGCACGGGGCCAGGAATCGAGAGGTGGAAATGGGAGGGGCACCAATCACTATTATCCCTAGTGACCCACTAGCAAAATTTTTGCTTCTTGTTCCCACAGCATCATGCTCTGCTGGCCTACAGGTCTTAGTTCCAAATGGAGGAATGCCTCCAACAGGAGAAACAACAGTGATTCCATTGCACAGGCAGTTAAGACTGCCACCTGGCCACTTTGGGCAACTCATGCCTCTGAGTTAACAGACAAAGAAGGGAGTTACTCTGTTGGGTGGAATGATTGATCCTGACCACCAAGGGGAAATTGGACCACTAGTCAACAGTGAAGGTAAGGAAGAGTGTATCTGCAATATGGGAGACCCCTTAGGGCATCTCTTAGTTATCATACCCTGTGATTAAGGTCAAAGGAAAACTACAATAACCTAGTCCTGGCAGGACTACTAATGGCCTAGACCCTTCAGGAATGAGGGTTTGAGTCACTTCACCAGGTAAAGAACCACGACCAGCTGAGGCGCTTGCTGAAGTCAAAAGGCATTAAAAAAAGGTAGTAGAAGAAGGTGGTTATAAATACCAGCTATGATCACATGATCAGCTATAGAAATGAGGGCTATATTGTCATGAGTATTTCTTCCTTGTTATGAATATATGTGTGTGTGTTTGTATTTGGCAAACATCTTTGTTCCTTTTATCTCTTATTTCCTTATAATGTAACATAAAATGTATTGACTTTATATTGTAGTATTTAAGTATTGTTAATTTTACATCATCCTGCTTAAGTTACGGGATATCAAGGTGAGTAAACATCCTCAACGACTTTACCGTCTCTTATGGGGATGGAGTCAGTGCATTTTTGCTTGTATACATGATACTTGTATCATTTTAGGCAGGATTATGATCTTGTTATTGTCTTTATTTGGAGAGTAAGTATGGTTTAAGGAGATGCATATGGGTGCCAAGTTGACAAGGGGTAGACATGTGATGTTTAATTTTGTGTGTCAAATTGACTGGGGTGCAGAGTACCCAGATATTTTTAAAAATATTTATTTATTTGGTTGTGCCAGCTCTTAGTTGCGGCAGGCAGGCTCCTTAGTTGTGGCTTTCAGGGTCCTTAGTTGCGGCTCACCTGGCTCCTTAGTTGTGGCATACGGGCTCCTTAGTTGTGACATGTGAACTCTTAGTTGTGGCACATGAACTCTTAGTTATGGCATGCAGGCAGGATCTAGTTCCCTGACCAGGGATCGAACCCAGGCCCCCTGCATTGGGAACATGGAGTCTTAACCACTGTGCCACCAGGGAAGTCTCGAGTACCCAGATATTTGGTTAAACATTATTCTGGGTGTGTCTGTGAGGGTGTTTCTGGATGAGATTAACATGTAAAACAGTAGACTGAGTAAAGCAGGTTGCCTTCCCAATGTAGGTGGGCCTCATCCAATCAGTTGAAGGCCTGGATAGAATAAAAAGTAAGGGAGAATTCACTCTCTCTGCCTGTCTTAGAGCTGGGACATAGGTCTTCTCCTGCCTTTGGACTCAATACAGACTAGAACTTACACCATCAGCTCCCCTGATTTTCCGGTCTTTGGACTCAGACTGGAACTAACTATACCATCCGTTCTTCTGAGTCTCCAGCTTGCTGACTGCAGACCTTGGGACTTCTCAGTCTCCATAATCATGTGAACCAATTCCTTATGGCAAATCTCTCTCTATATTGGTTCTCTTTCTCTGGAGAGCACAGACTGATACAGTGTACATAGAAATCTCCTTAATTCCTTTCAATGACTAGATTGTATCCCAAATGATGAATGCACCATCCTTTAATCCTCCTCATTGATACATAGTTAGGCTCTTTCCAGTTTTCCAGTCTTTTTCTGATTTCACCAGTGTATCAATAACTATCTGTACACATACATCTTTGTGCACTTATGCTACTATAACTGAAGACCAAGGAATGTGATTTATGAATCTTAAAGGTGACAAATATGTATTTGTTCTGTGCATGTTTTGTATGACATCATGTGCCTTAGAATGCAGTTTCCCCAAAGAAAAACTGTAATGTGTAAGTGCTGTAAATGTCATGTATGTTGTGGCTCCTTAACACGTATTTTAAAACAATAATAATTTGCAGAATAGCAGGTCAATTCATGTAACATAACTAGCTAAATACCAGTTGGGACATTTTCTTTAAGTGGGTCTCTTGAACCATGTACTCAGAGAGAGTGCTTTCCATAAGCCAAAGGATGTTGGCTATTCTTCACAGGAAGCCCAGTGAGTCTCCTCAGGCTTCTTCTTTTAACAAACACCCACTAGAACTATGATTTTGGAATCATTTCCATTGCAAATCCCCTCTTTCCACACCCCTTTAAAAGGCAGCTGCAGTATTTGGCATCTAACCAAGGCCTGCTGCACCAACAATTCTCTAAATTTTATTTATATTTCATGTGCAGTATGTTCAAACTCTCACTTTCCCAGGTGCCAGATGCTGGTTTGGACACACTCCAGTAGAAAGTGCTTTCCTTTCAAATAATAAAAGGAAAATGCTGAACATACCACCTCTTTATACAGACTTTCGTATAGTGTACCAAAGTTAAGTACTCTAATAATGACTTCACTATTTCCCCAATTTGCAATCCCCCTAGTTCCCTCCTCACCTCCCTCCACACCAAATACTTTGTCCCTCATCTTCCATAGGATGTTTATGGTCCCCTTCCATATCTTCAGTGTTCACTTGAAAACGTCAGGGTGTAGGAATCTATCTGTCTCACATGCTTTGGACGGGGCCTGATGTAACCCACCCACGGGTGTTTCAAATATGATTTGGATGAGAAAATAAAACACTTTAACCCACTTTCAGTATTTTAAAAGATATCTAACAACTTAATGTCTGCTATGTTAATAGCTTTTACATGTTTTCACTAAAAAGCGATGCTTTCCATGTGTTGGATAATAATACTGTCCCTGCAGTCGCACAGAATTTTGGCATGACACTAAAAATGAGCTTGGAATTTGTCTTTATCATAGGTCTCTTGCCTGCCTAAAGGCAATCCTCAGGCCAAAGATCCTACTTGTGAAATGAGCAGCAGTGTTAGGTGGATGCTGAGAAAGTAGATATCGTTTCAAGAGATTGCCAGTCCACTCATGGCGCCCGCCTCCACCTCCACCTCTTTCACCGCTTTATGTGGTAACATTTCACTGAACTGAAAACTAGTACAATTCCATGTTTTATCCCAGAAAATTGGGAACCTTAAGCGTGAAGATTTGTGCTTGTGCGCAAATCTTGCAGTTATATTCTGAGGTTTAAATGAACTCTTGTAAAGCAGGCTATGATTTGTGTGTGTGTGTTTGCATGTGTGGAAAGCCGCTATAAAATATAGACATTCTGCTTGGCTGCCAGTATCTCGTTTTCTTTTTCACCCTTTCCACTAGATGGCGGTAGATGTCCAAGAAATAACTTGCAAAAGCCTGGTGGAGGGCTGTGAGAGGGGCGTCCCATCCTTTCACTGGGCTGTTGGTAGCTGAGCGGACACACTGTTGTTCCTCTGTTGCGGGTGGGCATGGTGTACATTTTAATTTTTCGACTGTGTGTGTGTCGGGGTGAGGAGGCCGGAAGACTTGCCACAGACCACCTGTTTAATCCAGGTTCTCTCTAACCATAGGGTAGCGTCTTGCCAGCTGGGGGGAAAAAAAATCCCTAGAATTTTTCTCAACTATCAACAGACTTAACAGAAGCCGGTTCAGGAAAGGAGCCAGCTTCGATTTAGAGATGCCGTGGCATCTGGTCCCTATATTTGTGGAGATCGAAGAGAGCCAATCGCTGGTGAGGAAATGGCCGCGGCGACCTGGAGACTGAAATCCCACAGTGAGACCTGCGATCAACCCACAAGTACTTATGGATTCCCTCCCATGTGCCTAGCACTAGATCAGAAGCTACACAAGAAATAAAAGAGGTGGCGTTCTCCAGTCCTCTTATAGTAGAGAACACGAAACATACACACAGAGAAGTAAGTGCCGAGCAAGACCTAGCCTGATGAAGGTAACATTGTGTGAAGATGGGAAGTCCTCCGCCAGGGCTGTCTCCCGAGCACTTCGGCCACGCGGCGGGAGCCCGCGCCCCCTACGCCCTCTGCAGCAGCCAGTGCCTAGGCGGCTAGCACTGCTACATAGGGGGCGTGGCGTGGGCGGGCCCCATGGGCGGGGCTTTCTTTTCCCCAGTGCCCGCCGCCACCGCCGCCGCCGCCGCCGCCGCCGCTGCCGCCTCTGCCTGCCGCGCGGACCAAGGGAGCGCGGTCGCCGCCGCCTGCCTGCCCGGGTGCCCGCGTGCCCGGGCAGCGGTGGGCCAGGATGTCGGGTTTCCTGGAGGAGCTGCTGGGCGAGAAGCTGGTGACGGGCGGCGGCGAGGAGGTGGACGTGCACTCGCTGGCTGCCCGCGGCATCTCGCTGCTCGGGCTCTACTTCGGCTGTAGCCTGAGCGCCCCCTGCGCGCAGCTCAGCGCCAGCCTGGCCGCCTTCTACGGCCGCCTGCGGGGGGACGCGGCGGCTGGGCCAGGGGCTGGGGCTGGCCCGGGGCCGGGGGCCGGGGCGGCGGCGGAACCCGAGTCGCGGCGCCGCCTGGAGATTGTCTTCGTGTCCTCGGACCAGGACCAGCGGCAGTGGCAGGACTTCGTGCGGGACATGCCGTGGTTGGCGCTGCCCTACAAGGAGAAGCACAGGAAGGTGAGCTGCGCCGGCCTCGTCGTCGTCCCCGGCCTCGTCGTCGTCCCCGGCCTGGGTGCGCAGCCCGCGAGTTCCCGGGAGCCGGGTCCTCGCTGCCGCCCCCACCCCGGCGCCCTCTCCGCCCCCTCCTCCGTCGTGCACGAGCTTCCCCGCCTGCCCCTCAGCGTCCCCTGCCTCTGCCCGCCTCCCTGTCCCGGAACCTCGCCGGCTAGCGGCAACTCCTCTGTGCCGGTGCCAGGCCGCGCCCGCTGTGGAAGTTTGAAACCCCCGGGACCCCGACTCGCGTCCTGGGAAGTCGAGAGCCCGGTTCCCCCATGGTGGGAAGCCTCGAGTATGGGGTGGCTGCGCTCGGGGGTCGCGACTCGGTGACCCCCACCCCCAGGCAGAGGCGCAGGGAGGGGCCGCTTCCTTCCCTCAGCGCTAGACTCCCCGCGGATACCTGTGGTGGTGGGGGAGGGCGCTAGCCCCCTACCCATAATGCCTGAACCAGGAAGTTCCCTCTCTTTCCGAGAGAAATCGGCTTTTCTGGGGCTCTCTCCGGCTGTGGCCGGGGACCCGGAGGCCGAGGCTAGGCCGCCAGGCGCCGTTGAGGAGGGGGTCTGCCGCTGACCGTGTCTTCGGGCGAGAAGGAGCTCGCTCGTCTGCCTTCGCCTTCCCTCCGTCCCCCACCCTACCCCGGGCTGAACTAGCGGCCCCCGGGGAGCCTTTCATTGTCTGGCTGTCCAGCCATCCTCACCAGATGCCTCTCGGGCACCGGACCAGACCCGTCCGTGCAGCTCTTAGTTGCTTGGTTGGTGGGCCAGTGTTGCCTTGACACAGAGTTAAATGCTGAACC